AAATATTTATGAACAGATTCACTTTTTGTGAGGAAGAATATTCCTCTTCGGCGCTGTGCAAGTCTCGTGGATTACAGAGAAACTTCCCAAAAACCAAAGAAAGTTCTACAAGTTAATGGTGTAAAAGTTTCTCAACCTTTCCCCAGCCTGCTCTAAGAGTAGCCATTAAATAAGTTTAATAATTATAATAGTTGTAATTGTATTATTAACTTAGCGCAATTGTATTTAGGCATTTCTTGATGGTAAGTCATAATATTACCTTAAGATTTGCCAAATAAAAAGTCCTTGAAAGTTTTATTGAGTTTATAAAATGTCTTKATCAAATGTTAAAGGCTTGAAATAAAAAGTATGTGAAGAATTTACTCATATCTTTTGACTTCTTTTAGTTTATTTAGCTGAAAACCACTGATCCAGAGACTGATAATAGAAGCATACTTAAAGATTGTGAAGCCTTTTGTGTTAGAGTTATGATTAGGTTTTACAAGAGCAGCCACACAATTGACTCGAAGAGGCTGTACTTTATGTCAACATGCTGATACTCAAGCAAAGAAACTGAAGAAGAATGTAAAATTGTTTGATTAGAAGGGGAAAAATGATTTCTGGAGGATCATCCACATTCTTTTTATTTTCTGTTACCTGTTTAGGTTACAGAGGCAACATGTCCAGGAGGGAATCCCAGACCCCCTCCCAGTGACACTTTCCAGCACCTCCTGGGGGGATCCTAAGGTGTTCCCAACCCTACCAATGAATTCTTCACCTACTGTGGGAACTCTTCCCAGTAGAACGTGCTCCTCCAAAGGGAGATATTAGAATTCATTCTAATCAGGTGCCCGAATAGGGTTGGGCAACATCGTATCGTGTGCAATCAATCGTCAAAAAAAACTATCAGTTCATTTTTGCCACTTTGCAATTGCTGCAATTAGTGTCATGTGATGATGTATTTTTGTGTGTGACACACTATAACTATCAGGTACTCATGTGAGCCCAATGCGGAAAGCAGTACAGAGAAACTAATGCTAACTCTAACCCTACAAACTCACCTGAAACATCAACATAAACCAGATTAGTGGGAAGCCAGAAAATGTGGACCAGGGCCACTGTCAGCTACATTTACAGTAAGTGCACTTGTCATCTATTAATTGCTATCAACTAAATGCCACAATTATTCATTTGCCGATATTGCCTAACCCTATTCCTCGAAACACTTTAGCTAGCTCCAGTGCAGAGAYGCAACAGGTCCTCTCTGAGGTTATCCCAGAATTTTCTGTCCTTCACCATAGCAAACTGGAGCAAAGTCCTCTTTATTGTGGACAAGGTCCTAATTCATTGATCCATCTCCCACTTCATCCCACCATCCCTCATGAACAAGACTCCTCTTCTTGAAACTTATTCCCAACCTAGACAGGACGTTTCACCCTCTTCTAGTTAAGAATCATGGTCTTGAGCTTAGAGGAGCTGATTCGTATCCCAGTCCACTGCAAATGCCCCCAGTGCATGACCAATGGATGCTAACAAACACCCTCCTCTCCACGACTGTGCCTTGAGATCCTGTGTATGAACCCCACAAACAAAACTGGAGACAAGGGACCGCCTAATGCATCGGGAACAAGCTTGACTTTGTGCCAAGGATGTGGACAGAGGTCTTGCTTTGGTTATACAAGGACCGGGTAGCCCTTACAAGTGACCTTGACACCTTGTACTCCTCCAGCAAACCCCACAGAATGCCTCTGGGAACACAGACATAAGTGTTCTCAAAACACGTAGACTGTAAAATCAAACCCTCATGACCCCCTTGGCAAATCTCCAAGGGTGAAGCTCTGGTCCCCTGCTCCCGTAGGCGGGGCGAAAGCCACAACTGTGCTCCTCCTGAATCCGAGGCTCGCCAATCGGTCAGAACCTCCCTTCCAACACCCTGGAGTAAACTTTCCAGTCAAGTTTCCAATAACTTTTACAGCCTTTAATAAAAATCCTAAAGCAGAAGCGCTAATTGCCACACATCCCAACACGTGTAAAACATAATCTCATTTGTGTTTAATGAATTCTGACACTTCTGGATGAAGATGAGCATCACATTATGTGGGCAAATTATCTGCCTTGGCTCTCTAATAAAGACCCTATTGCCTTCTGTTCTGCCCTCCCCATTTGTTTCAACTACCATGGAAATATTTACACCCTTTTACTTTGGTTTGACTGTTTTTTATTATTATTTAATGAACACCAGATTCTATGCAAAGCAAGTGCAGTGGTTTTAACCTTTAAAGCATCCGGTTTTTCTTGAGCTACAAAGCGTGTCACATTAACAGGACCACATCTAATGACGAAAGTTTCCTGACAGCAGAAAAACTGACAAACTCTAATTTATTATCAGCACACCCTTTTATGTGTGGTTAATCGTTCTGAGAGGGAGGAGGGTTCTCAAGCTTCATCGGTGGCATTAATTAAGTAATGTTATGCTGTTAATTAGCTGATCCTGAAGATTCCTGCGTTATTGTAATGTTTTATCAGTTCGAAAGAACTAGAACTGTTTATAAAAACGCATTCAAAGTCTTTACTCTGATGTATTCTCAATCTGTTACTCCTCAAAGAGGTTTTTTGTTTAACCACAGCGACAAGTTTCTTTTTCAGTCAGTGTATACCACTACGCCACATGACATCAGGAGCTGTTCAGCTGCAGGATGAGAGCATCTTTTGCTCTGTAGGACAACAATTTAAACGTATTTAAAAACTGATAAGGTAGAGAGTCTTATCTATGGCTGAGATAGTCCAAGAGCCCTTCTCAGATAGCAGGGGGCTTCATTAAACATTTTTGTGTGTGTGTGTGTGTGTGTGTATTTTTTTTTGTTTGTTTTCCCCCTCGTGTTCTCCTTAAACTCCCGGCCTCTTCCCCTCAGTAAGAATTCTGTCAGCCTCCTCATGTTTCTTTCATCCACATGTCAGTCTTTTGTCTCCGGCACCTTTTTGAAGGTTCACGTCTGCACCGGGGCCCCCGGATTGTTTGAAGGTTGTGTGTGTGGTTTGGATAGTTCTGACATAAGTTGCTGATTTAATGCCACTCTACACCTCAAGACTTTGTCCTATGGTTAGATGTTTTTTTTTATTTCTCTCCCCACCTCTCTGCTTTAAACTGGAACGCTCTTTGAAGTGCTAATAATTGACGCAGTATAATCCACTGAAGATAATTAAGACACTCTCATTTTAATGAGTTCAGTTTTGAACCGAAACCATTACTCTAACCTTGTAGTGTTTTTAATTTAGCACAGTAGTCACCTAAAGCTCGTTGACTGTCTGATAATTTAACGCCTCCTTTGTTTCCCATTCACGTCGAAACAATAGTCAATCATTCTATTTGTTCGCTCATAGAAAAGCACAATTTTCATAATTATATTTAAAAATTCAACATATCCTCTGATAACAGTTTGCAACTTTTTAATTGTTGTTTTTTCACAAATCTTTGTGCATAAGTTGACCCTCTATAGGGCTTTACTCACCGTTTATTGGCTTTAAAAAAAACTGAAATATAAACCGCAGGTTAACGAGAGTTGTGACAGAATTTATGGACGCACAAACTGACAGCTGCAAACAGCACAGACAAGATGTTGTTCTTAATATAGTACTTTCGAGTCTGCTTGGAGGATGAATGCCATGCACGTGCAGTATGTGCACATGTGCAGGGTGTGTGTGTCGCTTAGACTGCCCCCTTTTTTATTACTGTTGATTACACTGTTGAAATTAATTACAGTTTATGCATTAATAGTTGTAGGATAGAAGACATTCTAGTGTCTCTTTGACAGCCTTTTGTGGTGAAAATCATTATACATGATGGAAATCTGAGATCAATGCAAAGTTTAATTTCAACACCTCGTATATTAGTGGCCATGTGGTTTTTTAACCTGTTGGCTAAATTTACTTTGCAAACAATATTTAGAATATATTATTTTCATGTCCCTCTAATGGTCCCACCAAAGATTTAAAATGAATTTTAGAGGTCATAGAGGAAAAACTTTATCCTAAATCTGGATCAGTTGTTATGTATTTGCATCACCTAAGACAAAAAGGTGATGATTTTTTTTTTGTCTGTCTGTGTACTTAGATTAATTAGCTTTTTAGGACCATTTCTAGTATTTACACCCACCTTGTCTAGACCAGCAGTCTTTATGGGGACCAAAGACCGGTCCTAATATGGTGGAACTCCATTTTTGGGTTGGGGGTTAGCTTTTATTAGCTGAGGTTAGGTTACCTACTATTTGTGACTACCATTAGCAAAATATCTCATGCATAACTGGGTGGGTTTTAATGAACCTTTCAAAAAGTAATTATTAGTTTACATCTTTAAATGGCAAACAAAACTTTTAAAACACAACAGTTGCCGTAACTCATCCAGTTTTACAGATATTGAGCTGGAACTGGGTGTGGTCATAGCTGACAGGCATCACCACACATACTTTGTCTTGTGAAATATTGTGATATCTCATGAGCTTTTACAGAATAATATTTTTAAGGTTTCACCAAAACTGCTGTAACTGTCATTTCTCAACATAAGATAATCTCTGTCTGAAACATAGTTTGAAATTTACCCAAAAATAAAGTCAAGTGCAGTTGATGTTCTTATTTCTTGTTTCTTGTTTGTTGATGTACTTTTATTTCTTTACTTTTCTCTTAGGTTTTATAAAAATTAGCTTTTGCAAAGTCTTTTTTTYCCCAGAAAGCTAATCAGTCCTTTCTGCTGAAGGACTTGGCTTTTTATCTTATCTTGAGACTTTCCAAATGAATCAGTCAAACTGAATTTATTTGAGACTCAAACTTTGCCAAGGATTTCAGATTTTCAAATATTACTGAAACAGTAGTTTTGACTAATAAATACGTTTTGACCAAAGCTATGAAACCAAGTGGTGAATATTCTGTTTCTCCACAGATGTCAAAGACCAGATTATTTTCACTTGTAACAGAGGGAACAAAAACAAATGTTTTACCCAACTGTGGTCTTTTTGTTCTGAGCACAGGTGACAAAGTGATCATGTTTCCTGTTTTGGACATCGACCAGAATGATATTGTGGACACCAACGGAGCAGGAGATTCCTTTGTGGGAGGTAGATTATTTTTATTATCTACACTGCTTCTGCTGCTTAACACTTAAAACATTTTCATCTTGTGTTTGCTGTTCAGYACTGCATAAAACAGCCATCATGTGGGCTTTGTTCACAAAATAAAACCGTCTCTTTGCAACAAAAATCCATTAAAACTTGGATTATTTTGATTGTAATACTTCATTATTTAAAGATGACAAGAATTACTTAAGTATATTTACTTTATTACAGTACTTAAGTAATTTTTTTGAGGTTTGTTACATTCAAAACATAAAAATTATACTTTTACTTCCGTACTTTAAAATTGTAGACGTAGTTACTCGTTAGCAATTTCAAGATGACCAAACTCATCATGAAAGGAGTTGATTAACACACGATGTCAACTGGTTCCACTAAATCAAGTTGAGTGAATTTACTCAACTTGGTTTAGTGGAACCAGTTTGGTTAAGTAGTTTCAACACCTTATTGCTTAGAGTGTGTGTGAAAGTACTTTTACCTTCCCGATTATTGTGAGCAGTTTTATATGGAGCCCGCGAGGGGACTTGGGGGGATTTTTTTTCTTTGGCGTTCCCACGCAATACCTTTGCGTTCCCTCGCGATACTTTTGCGTTACCTCGCAAAATTGTTTTGCGTTCCCACGCAAAGGATTGTTTTGTATATGAATTGAATTAAATCAGACTTTTATTTTGAAATATCCAGTTACCAAAACAGGATGTGTCGCCACAAGTTTGTGAAATTGACATTGATGTTGTGTGGTTGCATCGATATACTTCCATGCGTGGCTGTGTGATATATTCATTCTGAAGCTGAAATAAAGCTGTAGGCTAACTCGCTAATGGTAAACATGTGAGTTTGTTAATAAACCGGCAGGCACAACAGTAATAAACGACTTTTGCGAGGGAACGCAAAAGGTATTGCGAGGTAACGCAATACTATTGCGTGGGAACGCGAAAGAAAAAAATCTCCCATGTCGTGGGCTTCATAGTTTTATGACTTTTGCCTCAGTACTTTTCTTATCAGTGAGATTCATTTTCACCAAAGTTATTTTTTGTTTTGCTTAGTTATTCCTTTTAAGTACTTTATAAACTTCTTCTCTGTTTGTCTTGTCTCCCCAGGATTCTTGTCAGCGTTGGTCCAGGAGCAAGCGTTGGAGGAATGCATCCGGGCCGGACACTACGCCGCCCATGTCATCATCCGACGGGTTGGATGCACCTTCCCAGAGAAACCCGATTTTCACTGATGAATTTGAACTCTTTATGTCTTCTTCACTAAATTCTTAAACTTCACAGGTTTTATGTACCTTTTTTTTTTTTTTACACACAACTGATGTTTGGGACTATTTTTTTCTGCTTGACTATTTTATCAATCTTTTAATGAGCAACACAGATATTGTAAAATGATTAAGTTAATGAAGTAGTATTAAAAATTGGATTTTATTTATGTACAAAACAAACAAAATGTGTTGTTTGAGACTCAACAGATTAAAAAGGTGGTAAAGAGTTTTGAAACAGTCACTACAAAAGACTTAATCATTATTTTTGTGCGGTCTTCACCTCATCATTACTTTGAAAGAATAATCTTACACTTAATGAAAATGTATTTATTCATTTATGAAAGACACTGATAAATGAAATCAGAGCAGCTTAAAACTATTTTGTAGTAAAGGTTAAAATTTCCTGCTTCTTTTTTTATTTTTATTTTTTATGACAGACAAATTTTGGTCAAAATATTTTTGATTTACATTCACTGAACCCACTCAAAACATGATCTGCTTGTTGGTTAGATTTCTTAATACGTTTTCACACAATTTTTTGACCTGAAATTGCGGATGACACATCTTGCTTTTGAGCTACAAAGAGGTAAAAGTGACTCATGAGTGGCATATTTTTTATTGTTTTTCAATTATTTTTTTTTTGTTTTTGTTTTAAAGTATGGCAAGAGAAAACTTTTTGTCTGAAATGAATACTGGTGGAAGGTTTTGTGATTATGTGTAATAAAATATATGTTATGTAGCCACTTCAGAATATTTTTTAACTTATGCATTAAAGAGTCATTATTATTGGTGGATCACCTGCTGCCAAAAACAAAGAGGTGAAAAAGTAGCTAACATAAAAAAAAATTGTAATTTTTTTTTTGGCCAGTTTTACAGATAGCGAGCTAAAATTTGATGTGTTAATAGCTGATGGTGCAGGATCTGTTTTCAAATTTTGCCTTTAACTATTAGAGTTCACCATCTGTTTGCAAAATATCTCATGGGTTCTCGTCAACTAATCATTTGGTGCGCGTCTATAACTGATTATGTTTTAGAATTGATCAGTTCAATGTAGCTACAGCCAATTGACCTTCAGAAACACAACCATGTTTATAAGTTTTTCAGATAGTCAGGTAAAATTTGACGTGGTAATAACTCACAACACACACTCTGATCACATCTCATAATATTGCACAAAATCTTGCACATTATTTACAATGCATCACCAAACCAGATATTTCTATGACCCTTTTCACTAAAATATTGTTTTAGTTTAGGTTTCTGGCATTCCTTCAACAAATGTTAACCTTTGAATGTTTCTTAAAGTGACAATTATAAGAGATACAAATATCACAATATTCCTCCGCCAAGACAAAGGCAGTTGATTTGTTTAACCAACAGGTGATTTGATCTAAAACAAGTCGACAGAGTTTGTGAAGTTCGGTTATTTAATCAGTCAGGCAGTGTCATGCTAATCACTTCTCTGCTGCTCAACAGCCCCTCATTATGAGAATCCCCCCCAACCCAACCTCTGTTTCTCGTTGGGGTCCTAACCGGACTCTCCGTGTGTGGAGTGGCGCTGCAGGGCTGCGGATCATTTTTCTCACTTTAGGGGATTAGTGGTTGCTCTTCGCTACGACCATTAAAGGGACCCGAAAATTAGTCTGATCCTTCGGACCCAGCTGTGCTGTCGCTTTTGAGGTGGGGGGTTGGAGACGGGTGGGATCAGACAGTGGGCCCCTCCCTGTTAAAGCCCAAAGAACTGTTGGGCAGAGAGTCTGGAGTGTTTGAAATAATCCCGCACTCGTCTGTTCCGCAGAATAACATTTTCTGTTCCTTCTGAAAGACTTGTTACATCATATATCTTTAGCACACTGGAGGGAATCCAGTTTTTACAAACCCTGTTTTTTTTTTTCTTTTGAGGATTAGTTTATGCTAATTCTGGTCATCTAAGTAAAACCATTCTCAAGCCAAAATGTTATTAAACAACTTTGAGACACTTTTTTTTTTTGTAATCACCACTTTTTTTTAAAGGTTTTACACAGATGCGCTTTGAAAAGGGCCACATTTCTGATTGGGCAAGATCACACTACATGGCAGCTGGTTCATTTGCTTCTCAAGATGACAGATGGCAAAAACACAAACACAAAAAGAGAGAGCCATGATTAAGTAATGAGAATGCCTGCCACAATAAGGGAAACTACTCCTCTCACTTTTCTCGGCAAACTTTTACCTCGCTCATTAAACGAAGGAAGTTTTTTTTTTTAAAAAGTGCACGTATTCCCCAGTAATTTGTGATCTACTGTTAATTTAGCCTCTTTAACCATTTGAGTGTTTTATTTTGAGTCCCACTGTGTCCACATCCTCATCATTTGTACTTTTTTCCCCACTTAAATACATGTATAACTTTGTTTTGCAAGTGAAAAGAAAAATCTCAACATTTGTGACATGTTGGGTCTACRAATCCAATTTTTTTTTTAATGCATGCAAAGGAGTAACTGGGGTCCTGGCCAGTGTTTTGCCCCACAGATGGGCAGCAGTGTTTGTGAACACCCAGTGTGGCAGTTGGCAGGGATATAGGAAGATGATGGGAGGAAAGTGGGGAAGAGTGGGGGGGGGATGGGCAAACTCCAATGGCACATGCTCCAATTCAAATTATCCCTGGACCCCGTGCAGCAGCAGAGGACCTGCTGGGGGCCCAGGGTGGCATTCATTACAGCCAGACACAGGCAGGTTTCTTTTTTTTTTTTTTTTTTTTTTTTTTTTTTTGGTCAGCCCTTTCATCCTGACACCACTCCTAAAAGCTTCAAATTCAGGCTCTTGTTATTCGCTTTTCACCTGCTTTTAATATACCCCCCTCCCCTTTCCACCTTGCACACTCAAAACCCACATAAATTATTTTTATTTGCGTGTATTTACCAAAACAAACCAGTAAATAGATGTGGATAAATCTCAATGAGTGAAAAAGCAGGAGGATGTAAAATTTCATCAATGTGAGAAATGAATGCAGGTCAATAGAAACATCAAAGCAAACGAGGAGGAATGATGACGAGACTATTAAGGCTTGTATTAGATGCAAATCAAATTACACATTAAATGTGCCTCTACAGGGGGAGAGATGCTCTCATTTTAAGTATTTTTTTAAAAAGCTGCTCATACTGTACGTGTTTCTAATCTGATGAGAAGTAACCAATTATCTCTCTAATTACATCTGTATTACTGCATGAAAAATGAGCTTGCTGGTGTTTCTATTAGCTTCTAGAGAGCAAAAAAACTTAAAATAATGTAATCATCTGCACTATGTGCTTGGAAAAAAAAGGCTCTTATCATCAGCGTGTTGGAGTTAATTAACTGATTAGGGTAATATCCACGAGTAAAACTGGTCAGAGAAATGAAATTTCAAAATAAGGGTTTGTGCCAGTCATATTTAGAGGTATAAAACTCACATCGGTGGAAGTTTAAAATGCCCACAGGGCGTTGATGTTAATGGGGGGAGTGTTACATAAAAAAATGTTGAGCAGCCTGCAGAGGCTAATCCACTAAAAAAAAAAAAGAAGTGTGAAAATCTTCCTTTTGGCTCATCACTGGACGTGCTGATGGGGTGGGGGTGAAGTGAAATTGACAATATCATTGTAGGAGCGCACTAAAAAGGGGCGACGGTCCGCTTCACTACACCGTGGCGGGGATGTCTACAGTGAGAGAAGAAGAAGGGGGAGGGCACTACTTTGTCACAGGCTGCTATGTAGATTAACCTTTCAATTAGTTGTTATCAGGTCCTCTCCATGTCTCCGCGTGAGCTGCTCGAGCCTTTCGTTTTCAAGACCACCAAACCCGCTCGGATATATGTCGCTTCGCATTTACCCTTCGACGTGATAATGAAGAGGAGTATCCGAGGAGGGGGAAAAAACTTGAAGACTACCAGCAAATATTTACGGTAGCCCGTACTTTCTCTCTCTCTCTCTCCCCCCTCTTTTTTTTCTCCGCCTGTCTCTTTATGTTTATCTTTGCATTAAAGTTGCCATTAATTTTGTTGTATCCCTCCGCCGCCGGTGGCAGATTCGAAGATGCTAAAAGCGTTTTAATCTCCATTATTAGTGTGTTATACTGGGGGGGGAGGGAGCTCCGAAAACTAGCGACTGTCGTCGCTCCCAGCTGCCGTGTTAACTTGTATTCCCCGCTGAACATCTTTTTTCTCCCCCTCCGGGGCTCACTATTTGTCCTCATTGGAGATATTTGATAGTTAATGGTGATAAACAGGTCATGCCATCATTGCACGGCGCACACGTAGACAGAGCCTACTTTTTTTTTTTTTCAATCGTGCATTTATCGCTCTGTCACATAGTTTAAACGTTAAATACCAGGAGAATTACAGGAGAAAGATAAAGTCGGAGGAAAAAAAACCCGAGGAAGGGCAGAAAACGACGTGTTTTATGCGCTTTTTAAAAAACTGCTGAAGTCTTAAATATGTCTATTTTTTTATTTTTATTTTGAAAGAACTGTGTTCCACTTTAACGTTAGAGCCTTCGCAGGGTTTTATGCAAACAAATGATCGATTTAACAAACAGCCAATTAAAGTCTAAAACGATCCAAATCACGTTCAAGTGTAACCAAGAGGAATCCGAGTAAAGGTGGGCCGGTGTTAAACGACACGCAAACGAGGTTAAATATTTATCGAGCGTAATTACCACGCAGCCAGTTTGCGTCYGTTACAGTGCGCTTGTAACTTATTAACAACCCAAAACCCGGTTCTGRGCCGTAAATTGGGATTTTACGAGCGTTAGAGGTGAATGATATCAATTCATCACTGGAGGCACCTTAAGAGGCGGGTCAATTGAGTGAAGTGACAGATCACACAGCCAGTGCCGTGCCTCTYAGGGTGAGCTCATACATAAAGATTGACATGTGCTTTATCAAACCAGAAATCGGATCTCGTCTTTACAGCCAATAATTGAAGTTGCCGGGGWGGGCACATTAGTGTAGGTAAGGTTTAATGAGACTCCATTGGATTGTAATCAGCGTCATGTCGGATTCATGTAAACTACAACATTGTAACAAAATGGCGACTGTTAGGTGACATCAGTAAACGCTGGAAACGCTGACATTTATCGGCTCAACTCAGCGGAGCGCAACTCCCGGGGGTTTGTTTCGTTACTTGTTACCGGGTTTTCTCCCTCTTCTTGTGTTCTTTCTCGACCGAACCGCTCGGCCGGTGGCGACCGAGCTGTCAGGGGGGGGAAAGTGAAGCCATCGATTATTTATGCGTGTGTCATTACCGCTCGCGCTGATCAGTGCGTGTCGTCGAGCTGTCAAAAAGTGGTCGCGCGCGGAAGAACTAATGGTTGAACTTTGATTTATTTTTATTCTATTTGGGATCAAATGCGTGTTCGTGAAGGCTTGTCGAGGGAAGGGGACGTGACATGGTGATATTAATAAACTTGTAAAATTGTGTCAGCGTCACAAAAAAAGGGAATCTGAAACCGAAAATGTGTCTCGAAAACATTGTATACTTTTTTCCTGAAGTGGGTGGAAGTTTCTAGATAAATGTCACGGTGTGGAAAACTTGCAGTTTTTTTGGCAAATGGTCTCTTTTTGAGTAGGACATCTGGTTTGGTGTGCGGATTAAAGTGTCAGACTATGGATTAAGTCACTTTGATTTCTTCAGCAGCCATGACAGCGCCTGCATCTGTTTTTGTCCATCTGTTTCTCGTGTTTTAGCACATCTCAAAAGCCTTGCATTCCTTAGGCTTAGCCTTTACAGCCAGTGTGCTATAAGCTTCTTTTTTTATTTATATTGTGTCTCTAAATCTGTTTGTCTTTCTCCTTTTTTAGATCTGAGCTGGGATTCTAATAAAACACAGTTCCAGGTCAGCTGATAACTTCCACTGTGGATATTACTTGTACCCAACTTTTTCCTCGAGTTCACCCGGAATTGAGAAAATACTCGCGGATGCTGTCGTGGAACATAACTTCCTGACCGTACTAAGGATGTGGATGTACGTATTTTGCAGCTGCAGAAAGGAGGAACCTTTATGGATCACATTTTTGTGAGGCTTATTGTTCAACCATGGTAAAACTTGCAAACCCTCTCTACACGGGGTGGATTCTCGAAGCAATACAGAAAATTAAAAGGCAGAAGCAGAGGCCTTCAGAGGAGAGRATTTGTCATGCAGTGGCGACGGTGCACGGACTGGACAAGAAGACRGTCCTTGAGCAGTTGGAATTAAGCGTTCATGATAGCTCTATCCTCAAGGTGACAAATAAGGGAAGCACTTCCTACAAGGACCCAGGAAATCCTGGAAGAGTTGGTCCCATCTTGCCTACAAACACATCTTTGCCGTCAAAGGAATCTGTATGGAATTCAAACGATCTCCGCCATATTGATTGGAATAAAATACTTCGGACGGCCATTGAAGGTCTGGATGATACCCACGGCTCYTCGCTGAAGAACATCGAGAGGTACCTGAGGAATCAGGACGACCTCTCAAAYGTTGTTGACAATCCTGCTTTTCGGCAGAGGTTGCGGCTGGCGGCGAAGCGCTCAGTTGGCAACGGCAGATTGGTCAAAAACGGCCCACGGTATAAGCTCTGCCATGGAGGTGTGGAGGGAAGAAGCTCCAGGTGTCCTAGTGCTTCCCCCTTGGTTCTGGCATCAGTGACGCTCCTCCCCCATGAGCGCGACCAGGTACGCACGCACACCTGTGCTTTCTCACGTGTTCACCCCTCATTTCACCTTTGTAAACTTTTCAATGTATTCAGATGCCTCTGTGACCCAAAAAGGAGGCCTTTCCATGACTTCGATAATTGGGGKTTTTTTGGAAACTAAATGGAGCGATTTATGTGTCACTTCCAAGTTGGTGGGATGAGATTTAGGGTTACCACTGGATGGAAACTGCTCAATAGGAATTTCACAATTATAGTCTTAATCTTTGGAGCTTAATCCCAGGAGGTCAGAAATAATGCCCATCTAGAGTCCATCCCTTTAAGGCTGTGTTGCTAGTGGTTTCCATAATAAGAGAGCTTGGATAATCAGAAAGTCATGCTGACAGTGTGTGGTAGGCAGCCTGCTTTGGGCTTCCCACAGGTTATGTAACTCTAGCCTAATGACCTTAAAGGATGTGGACAGCTATCTTGTGAGTTGCAGTAAAACAGATATTTTATTGGTAATTTGCAAGGGCATGAGAGCATGTTGAGGAAGAAAGCCAGAATGTTCTCAGGCTACGTGCAGCTCTTGTGAGCTTTGTGCAAACAAACTTGCTCGAGAAAGGAAATAAAACCTTATAAACAAACTTCCAGGTTGCATTCTTTCCGCTGCTTTTTATTTATTTATTTATTTATTTATTTATTTATTTATTTATTTATTTATTTATTTATTCAGGGTGAGTTCAGAGTTCGCAGAGATGCTCGACAATAACAAGAATGCCAGAATTTTGTGATTCCGTGCAATTTTCAGACGAGTGCAGGGGGGCGTTGGGTGGAAAATGGTTGTCATTGTGTAGCTGCGTGAGCCGCGTGCAGTCATCTAGTTTGTTGTGAAGGCCTCTACCATGTCCTGTGTGAAAGCTTATCAAGATTAAGTGCGGTCTCATACTTTATGCACAAGTTATGCAGCTGAAGTGGTGAGCAGCATCAGGCRATAGAGATGTCACCCTGCTCCTCACCAGTTTCACAGTGAATAATCAGGAAGCGACACCTTGATACTGCAGCCACAACTGTGACTGTGTCTGTGGTCAGGCCAAAAGTGAAACTGAGAACTGTTTTAGAGACACGGCGTCCTGCCACGGCTCTCAGGAAGGCCTGCTGTTTTCCATTTGGAGCATTTCAACCTATTGCTCCCGGCCTGATGACATCACCCCCCCAGTTTTAGGCTTAACATTTACTTCAAAGGATGAGACATATCTGCCTGCTTAGTTGTTTAAGGCGCATCGAGAGCGTGTGTGTGCTGAGAATAAGAGATACTTTGAGGGTTAAAAAAAGCAGTCTTGGTTTAGAGTTTATTAGATTCTGAAGAGACTCTGGCAGGAACAAAGACAAGGAATGAGAGTTTTTTCTTTTTTTTTTTTCCCCCTGCTGTGTTATGCAACCAATTGAGCTCACCCTGTCTACCAGCAGTGTTCTAATAGGACCCCACCCCCTCACTCAGGACAGCCTGCTCTTTTGAAGCAGCATAATTTCCTGTAATGTACTTAATTTAGAATCTTCATGTAAATCATCGGCATCTCTTCAGCTGTGTTTGGCTTTCTAGTTTTGCATTTTAGCCATGTGCAGATTGCAAATWGCTATTGATTTTATTTGCCAGACCTAAAAATATTCCTAGTGGCAATTAATCCAGTTCCCGGATCGGACTTTGTGGATTAGTTTGTGGAGCGTGTGGTAATAAAACATATTTACTATTTTTAAAGGGGCAATATTATGTGTTTCTCAGGCATACATTTAAATACTGTACCATAATATAGTATCTATGTCACCTTTAGCTATTATTAAAATGCTGTTTTTATGTTTAAATAGAAAATAAACTTGTCTTCTCATCACTTCCTCTTCTAAACGCCTTGAAATTGGCCTCTGTCTCTTTAAGAACCTCCTTACGCTTCTGTCCCGCCCATTTTAGCGCGCGCGCGGGGGTGGGGCGCATGCGCTATGATGCAGTTTACTTGGCATCTGAAAATACATTTCCTCAAAGGTATTTTGACTCTGAAAAGAGCTTCACTGAGTGAGAAGTAGTGTTAGAGCTCAGCAGATATGCCATGAGGAAGTTCAGCTTAAAAACACATCCCAGAGGAGGAGATTGTCCCAAAAGGACACAACCCAGAGGCGTTTCTGTTCCCAAAAGATGTTTCTGGTCCCCACCTGTCGTTTTGCTCCTCAGCATGGCTGCCTAAAAACGCTGCAGGATTTCTCAAACATGCATGAATGAGTCAAAGCAAGGCTTTGGGCATGTTTTTTATGAGAGTATAACATTATAACATGATATAAAACTCAAAAAAGTTGATTTGACATGATATTGCCCCTTTAAAAATAACTTCACTGTATGTGTGCCCTGTGCATAGTTGGACCAGCAGTCCAACAGAAGCTGTCTGGTTTTCAGTTTCATCACTACTGTCTGTAGTGTCTCATATTTTAAACCTTTATAAAAATGATAGACGCCTTTCAGATACAGGRATAACATTCCAAGTAGGGCTTTGTTGCAAAATATCTTAACCTGCCATCAAGGAAGAACGTGTCTTCCTGTTATTTCAGCTGAGTGAATGGTATTTGACTTTGAGAAGTGTTTTTCAAAAATGGACTTTGTGTAATCCAGGTAAAATATTCTGGCATGTAATGCTGCCTAAGAGTCATACTTAGTAAATAATCTTTTGGGAAGTGTCAGAAAATAATGAAAACATTTCAATCACAAGTTATAAAAAGCTGATGTCTTGTTTACAGTTTAGTCTTTTTTTTCTGGCACAATTTCAGTATCCTAAAGTCTTCTTATTAAAAAGTTGAATAAACACAGAATTTCTAAGAAAAATGTTTTTAGGCCCACTGAACGAGACCACCTCTGTTTATAGATCTCACCAGCATTTGTCTGAGCAAAATGTGTTTTGATTTTCTTCTGTAACATGAGGCAATTACACAGCCACAGTGTTAAAACCTGCAGGTGTAGCCTCATCACATGTGAGAATTTTTAGTGATTTTTATGCTGTACAAGCAGCTTTTAATGCCCCTGCACGCTTTCAAGTATTGACCCAGCAGGTTGGAAAATAAAGTGATCATTGATGTGGAGATAAACTACTTCCTCTCACTGAAAACAGCTTCTTGATACCGCCAGGGACAGTGACATGAAATTGCTGCTGGATCCTTGTTGCATATCGTTGCCCTGAGCATCATTTGGATGCTTCTCTTTTTTTTTCCCCCTTTTTTTTTGCTGTCAAATAAAAAAGACAAATAAYACTGTATTTCAGCTAAAGGCCAACTAGAGGTCATATCCAACGCAGTTTTGAAATATGCAAACTTGGTTTAACTCAGGATGCTGATCTGCGTCATAGAAACCAGGAACTAATTATGGGCATCCCCAGAGTRCCATCCAAAGCTCTAGTCAACTGGATGGCCTTAGCGTGTAAACTGGCGATGAGGTGGGTTATTTATGATCACACCCAGTGAGTGATATTTTCCATTAAGAACTTCCTCTCTGCAGTCTGTTTGTTGTCCCTCTAGAGGCTTTTGTTTTTGAACTGGTATTGAAAAATTCACTCCATGGTGCATTTTAGTTTTGATATAAACCTGTGATTGGTTCAGTTTAGACTATCTGCTGTTGTGAAGTAATGACTGTAAGTCTCTGCTCTCCCTCTGAAGTCAGCCTCCTTTCGTTCTGAGTGATCAATGGAGAAATCCTCTTAAACCTTGAGCTCATATTTTASTTCTTCTGAACTCGACAATAAGCCCTTAAATGAGTGTTTGTTCTGAGACTCAACATTTACAGTGGATCATGGCAGTAACAATGTGAGCATGTTATATTATTGAGGTAATTTGATTACATGCTGGTTAATCCTTTCAGACTCGAGTGCAAGCTTTAAGAATTGGATTAAGCCCTTAAACTATGATTACCAAGATCACTTACACATTCAGATGTAATGGATAAAGGAGGTGGATCTCAAATGCAGCATATCTCCGAGGATGAGAGTAATTTATTATTCATTTCTAGTCTGTGAGAACTCTGCTTTTTTTTCATTCTTCGAGCTTCTGCTTTCAGTTGATATTATTTTGCGGATGTTTCATTAAATCCACAAGCTGGTTTTATCTTCTTTGGCTTAACCAGTAGTATCGCTACAGCGATTTTCAAAAATCCAAACAAAACACTCACCCAGAAAYCAACAGGACTCTACATGCAGCCTGTTTATGTCTTTCAAACTGTTTGTTTCTTTTCCCCCCACTTAGCTCCGGGTCGACCCCATCCCAATATGCAGTTTCTGTCTTGGAACGAAGGAGTCAAATCGGGACAAGCAGCCAGAGGAGCTGCTGTCCTGTGCAGACTGTGGAAGCAGTGGTAAGTCAGCCTCTGAAACACTTGACTGAATGGCTGTTTTCAAAACCGCAACAACTTTAAGCAAGACTGTAGACTGTTTAAACCACTAAACTGCTAGCATTGTTAGCGGAGGCTCATGGGGAATTGTGTATGTGATGATTTGAAGTGGGAAATATGGTCAATCTCTAAAAACAGCATGTTTTTTATTCAGCGAGTATTTTATGTTTTCTACAGTAAATACAAAAAACATAGATGATGCAAATTGTGTTGAATGCCTTGAACTTTGCTCCATTCACCAGGCATATGAGCAAAACAGTCTTAAGTAATAAAACATGCTGTTTTTTATATTTAAATTTTTAATTTTGAAGTAACTTTGCACTGAAGTCATGGCTGTGTATGAACTTCTCTTAGAGGTTTTTGTTAAATTTGTTCTCAATATAGTAGAGTAGGTTTTATTTAGTAGACTGAAAAAGAGTTGTGTGGGTTGATGTGTAAAGGAACGTAAGAAATAATTGAATAAGCAATATTCTTGTGTTTTTTGTTAAAATATTGAAATGCTGGTATTCTGTATTCTCAGTTAAGAAACATAAAACACAAATAATTCCAAAATATCAGTAATAGATTTTCATCAGATATTAACCTGTGTAAAACTCAGATTAAGCATCTCAAGTTCAAATAAGTAGAGTAATTTATTATAAAGTTGCCAATAAAGCAAACGTAATTTTACAATAGGGCGCCGCTGCATTTAATTTTCTTAGTGAGCACCGAGAGTAAGTGTGCAAATACACTGGTGGTTTTTGCTCATATTCTGTGTTGGAGGTATACTGGGGTTGGTTAATTGACCTATTAAGTGTAAGCTAATAAGTTACAGGTTCTGGCCAGGCAGGAAGGCTGATTAAAACCTGTAGGGTAAATTAACGCATGGTTCAACGTTCATAAAAAGCACAGTGTGTGACATTCCATAAAGGCTAACTTTGCTAATGTGTTAGGTCTGACTTATAAACAGCTGCTGCACTAGCAAAAGGAGTTAGTTTCTGATCCTTGTACACAAGTACAACACAATTATTAGATGATTATTGCCACAGCTGTTTGGCTCTGTACTCTTACAGTATTGTGTAAACATGTGTTTAAAATATCTTTTTTTATGGTGTTGCTGTAGGGGGTTTGCATCGTATAGTACACTTTCAGCAGGTTTAAAGCTTACATCTTCAAAAAACGTGCTTTCATGCCTTTAAATTGCTTGATACATTTAGAAATTTTTCATAGTTAAAACTAGGAATGCACGATAACTTATTTTAAGAACCGATACCGATAACTTTCTCCTCCTAACGGCCAATAACTGATAATAACCGATAACATGCCAGGAGATAAGACTAGTCTAAAATGGATAAGATCATAACATAAATAAACAAAACCAAAAAATAAAATGACACTAAATTATACTATTTGAAATAAACTCTTAGCAAACAAACCTTTATTAAAGTATATCAAACAAAAC